TGTGTGTTAGACAGATGTGATAGCCACTACACCATGCGAACCGATGATAGTTGGGCGAAAAACGACAACCGAGAGCCGAGTCCATTACTATAAATTGAAATTTAGATCAAGTGAAAGGCAAACTTTCATTTAATTTATTAATCCAAATAAAATGTATTGTTAGTTACTGAATCTTTGCTTTGAAAGTGCATGAAATCAATCATCAATATCAAAATGCCGAGAGAATAAATATGGTCACATTTCAATGCGCAAAATTGTATGAACAAATAATTACATAACTAATAGTACACCGCATGAATGCCTTTCACTTATGCCCAGACGCAGCTATAAAAACATAAGGACCAGAATGTATATGATGTATTTAAATTGATAGAGGTCAGAAAGTCACTAAAACTGATGAATACTGAAATTGGATTGTTAGCTTAATCTTTGTAAAGAAAAGAAACATTGCTTTACAATAAAAAAAGGAAACATGTTTACTAAACAACAATTTGGACAAGTTTGAACCGGATTCAGCCTTTTGTTTTAAATTCTTCTTTTTAAACATTCAGATTCTTCTGAAACATTTATAAAATAAAAAGATTTTTATATTAATTTTCAAATTAATATATGAAAATATTGAATTTAATGCACTTTATAGCATTTTAGTTAACATTTATTCTGAAATTTCTATTCAAATTGAAAAGTGATATCATGACTGAAAAATGTGTAATTTTCGTATCTTTAGATTCATGTACAAAGTACGTTACTTTGAAATGTATTTAAACATTCTGCAAACAAATTCGTGGTGATTTTCTCTAAAAAGTCCAAGAAAAACATTTAACTTTAATCGAAATACATAAAGTTGTTTTTACATCAAACATAACATGGAATTAGCTCAAAGATCAAATGAATAAAAATACACGAACAGAAGATGATTCAATATAAGAGAGCTATTTTGTATGTACACGTGGAGATTAAATGGAAAATAGGTATATCTGTTAAACTTACTGCCATTCATGTATAAGAAACCGTTTATGGAACCAGAAACTGACATGAGCTCCGGTGGTGTAGTGGTTATCACTTCCGCTTTACAACATTCGAAAGAAGTAGAAACGCGGACGGCCGTGGGTTCGATCCCCACCTGGAGCAGTTGTTTTTTTTTATTTTTTTTTCTATCGACTTTCTCAAACTTTTTTTTATATTTTTCATTACTCTTATCAATTTTTTTGACCTATAAATGTTTGTTCAACTGCAAATACAGCACTGTGTTGCTATGTGGCAAACGCTTGCTTTATTTCTATTATAAAACTCTGGATCGATTTTACAATAAACTAATGCGAGTAAATTAAGTGGATTGTGGTGAACGTAAAATATGTTTCCAGCATGAAAAGACGATAAAACAATAAATAAATAATGGAAAAAACGTAAAATAATAAAAAAATAAAAAAGAGAACGTGCTTCAGAGAGGGATCGAACCTCTGGCCGTCCGCGTTTCTACTTCTTTCGAATGTTGTAAAGCGGAAGTGATAACCACTACACCACTGAAGCCCATGTCAATTGCTTGTCTCAAAAATGGTTTTTTGTACATGAAATTCACCGAAATTGAACATATTTGCAAGCTTTTTCTTGTAAAATAAGAAATATTGATACGGAATGATTTACTTTGAATTGAAGATTAATAAATCTATTTGTATTTCATAGAACAGTATCAATAATATAACTCTTTGACCTTCTTTGCGTCATATAATTTCTGAAGCTCCCATTTATTCAAAAATGGATATCTTTTACACAGACATTTATGGCGACAATTCTATACACAGGTATAATTGGCTTTGATGAAAGTGGCTAAGTGACCCGCTTTTTAGTTTGAAACATAAATGAACTGATTCAATTCGTTGAATAAACTGTTTAATTGCTGAAACACCAATAAAGTTCTATGAGATCTAGTTATTTCTATGCTGTTATTTATGGATCTTCAAAATGTCTAATAGTTTTTAATTTCAAATTGAAATTATCAAGTATTAAATCATTTGAAAGAAGAAACATGTTCAAAGTTGGGCGATTTAATTTGATATGTCGAACATTTTAATAGCGTATTTGTTAACCAAGAATTTGATATGAGTTTCATGTTCCCAATTTTCATTGTTTCAATTTGAAGATTCATGTTCATATTGCAATTTAAATTTAATGGAATTTTTAATTGGGTATCACTCGGTCAACTGGAAATGTTTTCCATCCAATAGCGATACTGGATATTCGTTCCCAATAAATCACTCTACCTCAACTAATTTGAAAATGTAAGTCCTGTAATGAAACGTTGCTACCATGTTTTCCATTAAGCTAGAGTAGTAGAATATTTCAAGATTTCCATCAAAGAACAGTTTTCTTATTGTGAAAAACTAAATTGCCGAAAATTAGGAAACTTAATACAAAATTGATACATTCGTTCAGTGTTCGTTAAGATTGTTGTTAAAACGGTTTGTTGTCCACTTTATTCTCTCATGAAGGTCGTGATCATAACCAACAGTAATGAATAGTTAAAGTTTTGGCACCAATAATCTTTAACCTTCTTCGACATTTTATGTGTGAGCACAGGTATTTGATGAGACAGTATTCTCTTAGTGGTACTTTGTGCTTGTTTTTTAAAGGACGCAATTACCATCATACTTTCTTCAAACTGCTTGCTCAGCTATCAGATAAAAATCTCTTGAGTTTGATGCAACATATACGGTTACATTTTACCAAATGTACAAAATCAAAATTGGAATGATACACAAAAAAGATTCGCTTTAAAACAAAAAATAAGATAGATCATCAGTATAAAACGTATTTTAGATAATTAAATAGATATTCTTATTAGATAAACATATAAAATATGGAGTTTATTTGTCAAAGCGTGTAGCTCATGCGTCAATTTTTAATTGGAATTAAGGAGATAAGAAAATCCGAGCAGGTATCATCGGTCTTGTTAGAACAGTGATCGGCTGCGGATGTTTCTTTTTTTGTATAAAAAAGTGCCGAGTGTAAGGCAAAAGTATCAGAGTGCTGCTTAGTATTAAAACAGTCAGTTAAAAAATAAAATCGCATCAACATGAAGTTTACCAAATTCACAGTTTTGTTTGTAATTCTCGCTATTGGTGTTTCAAACATTCAATGTGATTCCCCTTTTAACATTATTGAACGACTTTTGGACAACATTGAAGAGGGTACTAAAGATGTTCCTGTTGACATTTCTACCGTTGATTATAGTGATAATATTGATTTCGACGAAGCTGAGCTCAGTGAGGCTGATATCATTCTGCTTGAGAAGGGATATTAAGGGTGCTTTTTTAAAGCTATTCACCATCAATCAAGCTGCTCTTATATGAGAAAACAATCAAAACATCCTTTTGCAAGTTAAAAAAAATCGAATTTCGTCATTTTTACGGAATAAATTTCAAATTATTGTTGTTGTTGAACATACTGTACTACAAAAATTAGTGAAGAAAAATTCTTATTCTGATACAAATTTAAAGTGATTTTATTTATAAAATGCTAACGTTTTCTAGCTATAAAACTCGAGGCAACATTATTTCCGAAAACGTTAGCATTTTATGAATAAAATTACGTTAAATTTGTATCAGAATAAGAAGTTTTCTTCGCTTATTTTTTCATTTGAATAAATTTCACTTGAAACTTTCAATTTAATATGTATCGACGATTTATTGTTAAAAAAACCAATGAATTGTAACTGGAAATGATAAAATAAAAACTTAATCAGAATGAAATATATACTTGTTTCTTTCATTCCCTCAGCATTCTCGCTTATCTCAAAAAGATAAAATTTATAGATATTTGGTATGTTTTGAACTATAAAGTACGAGTAAATCATGTAATCTATATGAGATTTAGTAATTGAGCATGTGTGTACTACACAGTGTCCAACATTTCTCCGCAAAATCATTCATATAATAAATGTCATGACATTCCAACAAAAAATACCTTCATGCTAAAGAAATATTATTATTTGGATAATTTTCGTAAAGAAAGAGAGGCAAAAACAGCGAGCGACCAAATAATAATTGCTAATTTTATTATTTCGTGAGTGAAATTGAATGCTTGCCTGAGTCACTAAGCAATTATTGAACGCTTGTATTGTCAACGATAATCATAAAACGTTTACCGTTTCAACATAATGCCAATTATTGTCAAAAATCGCAATCACAATCGACCCCAAAAATCGTACGGAATTCCACATCGATTGGCTTTAATTCAATTTGTCCAAAAACGCTAGTTAAAACCAATTAATCAATAAAAGTGAAAATTGATCGAATTTATTTAGTGTGTTAAACAAGGTGTAAATATCCGGCACTCAACGGCAAGCAATGAAATTCGACACAAAATCGATACTCAATTTGTTTTGGCAAACCACAGCCATGAATTATACTGTGATTATCATTGTAAATTATGTTTTTCGTTTTCGTTATCCTTCTGAATCGCGAATTGTAAATTCGTAAATTGCTTGCTTGTTTCTTTTATTAAATGAAATTGTTGTGGAGTTTTTCAATGTCGGCAATCAAATCAATTTCAAGATACATTATCCGGGCATATTTATTGCCTGTAGATTTGCACAAACAAGCGACGCTATACCGTACGAAGAAAACTTGGAAAAAACTATAAATAACACCGTGCACGCAAATCCAACATAAATAGATTTGAGAAAGGGCATGGTACCGCATGATATTCTCCCCATTGATTACCATTGGATTGTGGACATCGATGGCGTGACACTAATTTTACGAATACACTTGATGGATAGAAAGATTATCAGTGTCACAATATGTGATAACATTGATTGTATGGCAAATTTTCGACACACAAAAAACAAACAAACCAATGACCATTTATGTATATAAACAATGGCACTCACAACAAAAGCTCTCCGTTTTTTTTGCTCCAGCTAATTTGGAATGACATTCGCTTTCTTCAGTTCAACATTGTTGTATAATTATAATGCAGCAACACCATAATGTTTGGTCATATGACTCGGTTGCCATTAAAAGCAACACTTGCAAAATGTGTCGTCAATAATGAGTTTCATCCCCAAGCTAACAACAGCCAACAACTGTCAACACATTGCTTTTGGAATTCGAGTGGAAATCGTGTTTTTTTTTTCTTTTTTAAATTAATCCCTTCTCTGTTTTGTCATCTGTCGAGCTTTTGAAGAATTATTTTTGCACCCATTGGCATGTGACTGTTTTAACTTTATTTACATTCCATCCGAATGACACACGAAAATCGGGCGATAAAAAGCGAAGAAAACAAGTTTGTGAAAACATTTGATAAAAATAGACGATTTCCTGTTTTTAACTTCAAGGGAAATTCTCCCCCATCCCGATGAAAATAAGTGTCTCAAATGCAAACAGAAAAATTCTAATTGAAACAAACAAGAAATGTCATCAGAATAAATATGACTCTATAAACTTACAAATGCTCTGCATTTTTCTCGTTAGTTTAATGTCTTTGATAAGTCGAAAAGTTTTCGCACATTGATGTTAATAATTTTAATGGAAAACACACATAGAAAATGTGCACGGCTCGGATAGTGAACAGTTTTCCGATTCAACGATGACTTGCATTCTTGCCACTTGAAATATGCGATTCAATATGTGTGTTTGTGTGTGTGTGAGTGTGTAGGTCGCTCTTTGTATTCGTAAATACACCAACAACCATATGATTATGATTGGTGTTCGACACGTGCAATATTACATCGATTTATTTTCCAAATGCAATGAGTCGGCTGTGCCGAACCGAAATATGCACAGCATAAGTAAAAAATAAATAACGATGGAAAATGAAAGTGAATTGATTTGGGGTTGTACTTACCTTGTGTCAAAAATAACACGTTGAAAGAATAAATGGAAATGGCACCGACCGACATTCTTCCATAGCACCATTGCTTATGTAAACATAAAAATCGCTTTCAACATACTTTATTTTGCTCTACCTTTGATTGCTGTGATTGCAATAATTCAATGATTCGTCGAATGTTTCGTCGTTGTCATCGTTGTTGTAGTCATATTTTGTTTGTCGATACATTTACGTTGACATTAAATGGAATTCAATTTTTTGTATTCCTCGAAATCACAAAACTAATGCGTCATCCGAAATAAAAGCATACACAAATACACCGATATCGGAATGAAAAATATCACATACACAAAAATAAATATTGTTAAACACAATTTTTTTATATAAAAAAAGACAACTTGTATTTGCAAATCGGAGGAAACACCTTTTAAGTCTGCTGTTTCGTAAGAGCATTGAATAATTTCAAAACAAAACACCCCGAACGCTCTACAATCGACAACAAATTCGATGAACAAAAATAGTTTGAAATTTATTTTACAATTTTTTTTTTGAAGGCTCAAGGAAACACAATGCTATATGACGTTAACCTAGACGCAACCACTCTTTTATTGCAACCTCATATATATTTACGTTGAGAAACGGAAAAATTACCAAAGAAAAACACAAAACCGAAGTAATAATAGCAAATAAAATAAAACGGAATCGTTTTTTATAGTATTACACACACACACATACAGTACATGGAACATCAAAAATCATAGCTTGGTTGGGCACTTTGAAAATACAAAAAATTGACCGAAAAAACTGAAAAACACAAAATAAACAGACATGAACCGAAACAAAAAAATCCTGAAAACGAAGGATTAAGATTCTCTACTTGAGATGTAGCACCAGTAGAGAGGTTTTCACGCAAAGAACACTACCAGTGAACTGCTAATGTCAGTGATTCATTCGGTTTTGCAATGTTTCGCTTTCGGTCACTGTTGCTATTTCTGATTAGAAGCAAAAGATTTTCCACCATATAAAATAACGTATATGCATGTATATAGTTTGCACGCCCAAGTCAACACACAATATCATTTCGGTGGCGCACACGACGAACCACCACCAAATACACTACATAAATTCACTTTCATCCACATGGGAAAGCAACACTCACGGTCTCGGCGCCACATTTCCATGCACTGGGGAAATGTAACACATTTATGATGTCAAAGAATTGATTGGTGCGTGGATAACACAGCCCAAAACAGCAAGTCTTTCATTTCGCAAATGTTGATTATTAATCAAAAAAAGTTTTCTTTTTGATTCGAAAAAAAGCTGTATTTGCTTCAATTTCTAATCTCATCAAAGAAAAACCGCCAAAAATCAAACGTTCTCCTTCAACGGTTTTTTTTTTCAATCTTATAAGAAATTTTAGCAGAACAAAATACTCACGTATTCACGAATCACTTTGATTCGTTTGTCTGTCAAATGACATAACCTCATTTTAATGAATTGTTCAATTGAAGACTTGTTGATATTTTTATGAGCATTCAAGTGATAATTTTGTTTCAAAAAATCTGATAATGTTTCGAAAATTGTGTATAAATTCGTTGGTTCTACGAAAAAAAATGGTTTTTCAACCATTAACGTATCGATTGCCATCCCAAACAACGGGCTCTATTTATAATTTTGCAATGAACATTGTAACTCCCTTTCGACTAACACAATATACGTATTTCTCAAATGAGCCAACCACAGTTAAGAAATTGAATAAAGAAATTGATTACGAACGGAAACAAAAAGCCGAGTCCCAATGTCAAAAGATATTTCAGTGTACGGTCTCCGAGGCTGATGAAGTGGCTACATGTTTATTGAAAGAAAATGAAAATGTTGATTTAAAAACCATACACAAGACGGTGAATTGGTTACATCGTCAAGGTGCTACACATTCGACTCTATTGAAAAATTATCACATTTTACTGATTCCCAAAGGTAAGGTTTCATTTGACTGCTGGCAATTATAATGAATTTAAAAAATAAATATTTTTCCAAAGAACAACTCAAACAGCGAATGGAAAGGCTCACGTTGAGCTCTTGGAAGCAAATCGATGACTTTGTCCCATTTCTAGCTTTGGATGTGGAAACAATCAAAAATCTTCGATTGCGCCAAGCGAGAAAAAATGTCAAAATTTCAAACCGAATCTATCTTTTGAGCGAATATTTTTCGGTAAGCATTTCTTAATCCGTTAAAATTTCATTCAGATCGAATAAAAACCGTCTATTGGTTTGCAGATTGAACCACCAATCGTAAGTCATTTTTGTGCAACAAAGTTGGTTATCATTGATATGGAAGAGGAGTTGCTGAAGAGAAAAGTTAAACTGCTGCTAAGTAATGGGTTGTGCCCATTAAAAATATTAAAGGATTTACTAGTATTGGAGCGAAGTGAAGAGATATTGAAAGAAAGAATTGATTTGCTGAAAAAGTTTAACATTGAGCCTAATTCTTGGATGCCCTGGATGTTCAAATGTCCGAAGCCAGCTTTCAATTGGTTCCGTTGAGTTTTTTATTAAAAAATATTCAAGTGTTCTTACAGTCGTCTAATTTCTTTCAATTTCTGTGATTCAGGACAGTGAACGAACGATTTATACGAAGACGGAACGTGGATATTATGGTGGAGGTGATTACAAAGAAACTTGATTGCTACCGCACAACTGCCCATGCAATAATTAGGTAATGATTTTTAGTCAAATTCAGCGTTAACATACGTTGCACTTTTACTTAATCTGAAGTCGAATTCATTTTTTCTTGGGTTTATCTCTGACTAACTCTTGTTTTTCTATTTTTCTTCCACTTGTGACTTTGGCTACAACTGATGACTGAAACTACACATATATGTGGTGCTAATTTTGAACATAAACAAACGCTGGCGATGAATCTATAATTGCATAAACAATTATTTATTTCTATAGAAGGGAAAAAAAATTGCAAACAATTGATCCCGAAACGGTGAGATATTCAATGTTTGATCAACATAGAGACTTAAACTGAAACCATTGTTTTTCTCTTCATGCAGTTGGCGCCTGTAATTGATGAACTACTGAAATATTTTCGACCAAAGATAATTTTGGACAACTACAGTCTCTTAAACTATTCTGTTGAGCATATAAAAATACGCGTGGCTGAAATATTGGACTTACAGGATACATCCCTGTCGCCAGAACAATTGACCATTGATCCAAAAGTAATTCTTTTGAATAAAAAGGAATTTAAACAATTTGTAAAAAAAAATAAAAAATTAAAATAAATGAAAACCGCCTAGCATGAGCACATGAAAGAAGTGTTTATTTATTTAACCAAACATTTGTATGCCATGTATTTGACACGACATTTGCGTGACAAAATTAAAATCAATAACACACGTGAAGTTGCAGCGAATGTGATACTGTCAACCGATAAAACTGGGGAAATGTGTTTGGTAATTATGAAGTGGACGGAGGAGAACAAACAATTGAGAAAATATACGATACAGAGAGCAGGTTTCTTATCAGAAACGATAATTTGATGTTGCTCACCAAAAGAAATTTTTTTTACTGTAATCTCTGATCGAAAAAATCTTTATACACATATATAAGTGGTAGACGGTTTTGGTTCTTCAGGTGGATAAATCGTGTGGAAATGCAATAGCTAAGAGACATTTTGAAATAAGTTCTTCTTCTTTAATTCACTGCATCGTGTGCAAACAACAAGTTCACCTCGATATAATTACACATTTGCCATAATATTCGATATTTAGAACAACGTCATGGACGTACAGCGGCAGCAATTCAATGGTGATGCGATTCGCCAAGAGCTGGCTAAACAATATCGTAAGTATTTATTCGAATTTATTTGGGCATTTTTTATATATATCTAGGAAAAACAAGGAAAATTCTTGGTGGGGTAAATAATTGGTATTGTATATTTTGGTGAATAATCAATGAAAATTCGGTTGTCATTTGCTTTGAGTTGACATTGTGCATATATGTTTGGTTTTATTTCTTTTTTTATTACATTCGGAGAAAAAGCAAAGGAAAGTTTCATTCTTGTTTTATTCAACCGTTTTCGTTTCAATATTTTGTAATTTTTGTATGAAAGCAAACTGCTGCCAATTTTTCTCGGAATACAGTTTAAAATTGCCTACGACATACATGTTAATGTGATAATTTAACGCTGTTTATACAAGTGTACAAACCAATGTAAATAAAGTGTGATTATTTTGTTTGATTTTAGATCGTGCCACCACTACGTCCGTTGACGATGTCGATTTGTTAGCTATCGATTTGTTTGCGACAATGGTGCAGCAATATGAAGCATTTATTACATTCGATGCGACAAAAATTATCGCTGAAAAATTTAAATCGGCCAACCCAGACGAAGTATTGCTTGCGCTTAATGTAAATATTTACACAATGATTTCTTCTCGACATCAACTCAGTTATAACTCACTTTCGATTTCATTTTAAAATATGCATATTATGTTTTTCTCTTGAACTGTGGTATATGGTAGGTGCTGGAAGAGTGTATGTCTAAGTGTGGCGCAAAATTTCGTACTGAAGTTGGAAAATTTAGATTCCTCAATGACTTGATAAGGTTGGTGTCGCCGCAGTACGAGGGAGAAAAAACGCCGAAGAAAATTCGTGATAAAATATTGGACTTATTATTGTTGTGGACGATAAATTTTCCGAATGAAAAGAAAATCAAAGAAGCCTATGACATGCTATTGAAACGTGGCGTACGGCATGAAACTGCAAAGCCAGTGATTGCAAAAAATGATGCAAAACATGAAGCGATTGATGTGAAATCACGAGAGAGACCCGAACCCGATTTGTCAGCTAAACTACAACGACTTTTGCGCAGCTCAAATCCAGCCGATTACAAAGCAGCTAATTTACTCATACAAAATATGGTGAAAGAGAAAGAACGGCGCCATGAAGTGAACATGCGACGGAAATTGGAACTCAAGGAAATCACCGAAAATGCCACCGTTTTGAAACAAATGTTGGACCAGTTGGAGGACGATCAGACCAAGAAATCATCAACGGATGAAATCACCGAAGATTTATTGGCCACATTGACTTATTTATACGAATCGTGCAAAAAATTGCAACCGACTATTTTGATACTTATTGGCGATACGGAGGATAATGAATGTTTGGGTAATTTACATATTTCAGATTGACAGCGTCTGGTGTTAAGTCTCAGATGCTGTAGCACTGTTTTATTCTATTCAGTTTGGAAGAGAAGGTTTTCTACATAGAGAGAGAAGGTTTTAGTGGTAAAATCCTTCTCCTCATACAGATATGTAGATATGTAGTATTAAAGTCAAATGGGATAATTCACCCGGCGATAATAATTCGAATAACGAAAATGAGTGAAAATTTATGAAACTAATAAATCCGCTTTTCTCGTTGCAGATGATGCATTAGAAGTGAATGACTTGGTAGCGGAAGTATTTCACAAGTATCACCGACTTGTTATCAAGAATAGGCCAAAATGTGCAAGCTCTTCATTGATATCAACACCCCAAACGAGTGCGGTATCGAGTCAGAATGGCACTAGTAAAAACACCATGGATGAATTACAAGAAATATTTGCAAACAGCAGCACTAGCAATGCTAGTAATGCAAACAATGCTAACCCCATTATGGCTATGACACCACTTGAACCCACACCTGCAAAAGTGATAACAAATGGTAATTCACCGCAATAAATTCATCCAACTACATTTCAGAATTAATTTGTGTGTTTTTTTTTCTATTACTTCAAAAAGATACATCAGATAAATCGTGGCAAACAATCAAAGATTTGAACAATGCAGCAACAGGTTCCTTAAACTCACTAATTACGCCAATTTCTTCACCAGCCGTTGCAAAATCTGTCGGCACATTTGAAAATCTTTTGAATAATGAAAGGTATGATGAGCCAAATTCCAATTGTCCGTTTGACATTTAAAATTATTTTCAATTTCATTCACAGTGTGATGTCATCGGTACAAATTTCAAAGGCATCTTCGATTTCAAATTCACATCAAGAAAAAGTGAACGCAACGCAGCTTAAATTCCAAAATTTCGATTCGGAAATCACGCAATTGATAAGCGGTTTAAAATCCAATTTGAGAAAAGAGTCTGAAGAGGTCATCAATTCAGATGATGACAAATTGCTGCTGGACAACGATGTAGAGCCGCTCGAATCGGAAACAATGAACAAGTCAAGCGATGAACTGGTTCTTAGTGAAGCGATTAAACAAGAAGTAGTTTCGACTGATGAAAGTGCCATTCAAGTCAATTTAAATAAAGCATTAGCAGATATTGTTGTCGATTTAAATGAGATTCGGCCACATGATAACTACGCACCACAATGTATTATGGACGAGAAGTCCGGATTAAAAATCTTGCTAAATTTTACCAAAGACAAACCGCGTTCCGACGTCGTTGTTTTGGTTATCACCACAATGAATCAAAATAGCCTACCGATTAGAAACTTTCAATTTGAGGCTAGCGTTACAAAGGTATGACAAAGAATGCAGTACTCAATTCGCAAAAAATGCTTGAATGGAATTTGTTTATTTTCAGCCGTGTAAATTGCATTTACAAAAGCCGTCGGGACACGATTTGCCTGGCAAAAAACCGTTTCGCCCGCCAACTGAAGATATCACGCAAATTTTGTTGATTTCCAATGCCGAAAAGAAACCGCTAAAACTAGTTTGTATTATCAGCTATAAAATGGGCGAAGATCCGGATATGGTTAAAGAATTTCTCGAAATCAACGATTTACCTGATCTTTTTAATTAACAATTTTACGTATTCTAATCATTATTCAAGTCATTAAAATGTATATAAAAAAAAATTCCTTTTGAAATGTAATTTCATTTTTATTGTATTTTGATTTCGTTAGTTTGGCTTTCTTCAACAACAACAATAAAAAAAAAACAATGTACGATACTAAAATTAAATTGGACTTTTTTTGGAATTATTTTTACTTTTTAACGTTTCAATTACAATATTTTCTTGTAATAATCACAACTGATAACTTTAACATGGTACATTTTTTTCAAGTTTAATCCACTTTGTACCCAATTTAGTCTTCAAATAACCAATAATCTAGAATTATTGTGTATTAAGTCTATTGTAAAGTAAGCCCGAAATGATTTCGCAGTTTGTGTCCTCTGGCCAAATACGAAATAGGGATGGTTCCGACAGAGAAGTAGTTCGCAAATGGAAAAGTGAATCGGTGGGGTTCGATCCGCCGAAGAACGTCAACTGTATGGCATACTGAAAATGTGAAGAAAATATATTACAAAATATTGTGTTTAGGTACTCTTTTTAGGTTTTTAGGGAGCAAAGGAATAAAAAACATATGGTCCAAATGAATATACCTTGAAATGTGGTTCGATGATGATGGCTTCTGGAAATAGTATTTTATTATTCTCGAAGACATGATCCTTGGCATAGTTGATGGCAGAAACTTTGAATGAGCCTTGTAAAAGTACGATGTCCGTACACTGATCTCGATTCGGTGAAATCTTCACGACACTTACCTAAGGGGCAAATCACAAAAGAGAAGAATACAATTAATTTAAAATAATCGACAAATAATCGAAAAATAATCAATAAGAATTAATTAATAATAGAAAGGCAATTTTTAAGTTGCCCTTGAACGACACTTGCCACTCCGGAAATTATTTTTTGATGAACAATAGAAAATGTATCAAAAATTGTTCCTATTTCGATTCCGCCCAACAGTGTTTTGTATTGTGCATTGAAATGAAGCTCTTCCATTTTATCACGTCGAATTGATGTGGATCTTTTAACAGCTCGGCCAATTTTGTAGTTGATCATTTCGTCTTGATTAAATGGCGTCGGAAATTTGGCTGCTGTTATAACAATGAAACGTCGAAGCTCTTGCGCGGTGAAGAGTTCACCAAATGACAAAACAATTCGAACGATTTCATCACGAGTCATTGCGCCAAATTGGATGTGTTGAAAAAAACCATTCAATTGATCACGACGGTTCTGCATAACATTTGGATCGACATTCGCTGCATTACACGCACCTTCTGCCCAAGCCAAACAAACGTCAAAAATCTTTTTTGCATAGATTTCTATGTATTTGATTTGTAGGATGCATTTCAAAAAATCTTCGCTTACGGAGCGGATGTAGTCGCAAGCAAAAATCTCTTCGCCTCGTTGGAGTATTTTCCATTTGAGTATTTCGGCCAAGTAATCAAGTTCGTATGTGATTGCCAGTCCATAGCCAATCAGAATATGCTTTGGTGTGTCCACTTGTTGCAGGTATTGACAGCAGCTCTCAAATAGTCCATTGACATTGTATTTTTCGCATAAATACATCGTTTCACCAATCGTTTCCATGCTGATATTGTAGTTCATTTCATCGAAATAGAAATAACGGAGAAATGCGCGAAATCCATCTGGTGAAGTGTCTGTGATTTCAACTGCATCTTCTTCCTTCAAATTAGATGTTTAGAATAGATGTTTGGAGTGAAAAACAATGAAAAACATAAGGTGCAAATAGATATACCGGTAAGCTGCCGTGGAACATTTTTTCGAATACATCACTGTGGGTGAACAATACAAATTTATGCGCTGGTACACTTTCCTTATGATTATCATCATTTCCACAAATGAAAACAACATCAGAAGTGTCGAAATTCAAATATTGTTTGCTCATATTTTTCCGCTTGTCGGCTGTATGATGGGACATTTTTCTTTATCATCCGATCGAATCGCGTTTAAATCAATAATCGATATTAATTTTTTTGAAGAGTTAATTTTTTATTTTTGACAAATTTCTTCAAACAATTTCGATGAAATTCATTTTTTTTTTTTCAATTTAAACTCAATCAAATGAATCCCTTGCTACTGGACATGTGCGCACCACTTAACTCTCGCTTGCGAAATGTGTCAAAATATGTCAAAATATATACATGTTGCTCCTTTAACGGTACCGACCTCTATTTTTGTGTGTCAATATTTGTGTTTTTGTTGTTTTACATTTATACAGTATCGTCTTTCACGAGGCAGCTAACTTTTTCTATCATCACTATTAGTTGCCGGGTGATTGACCGTATTGTATAAACATTTCTTTTTCTCTCGAAAATACAATATTTAAAAAACAAAGACTATACTTTCATTCGTCACATTTAAAATTATGTCGTCGAAGCAGATACAAATAAAAAACAATGGAGTTATTTATGGTGAGCGACTTAAAACTGACCGAAAAAGATTCTCTGACAAAACGTCCATTTCAAACCGAAATTGAAATAAGAATGGATTTATCTTAGTATCCATCGCACTACTTATATGAGAGCTATGGTGACCAGTATCAACTATATACCGGAAGTCAAACGGGTGATACCATCATGCGCGCTAGAATTCACAGTTCTAAGAATTCCTTATCAAAATCCAATAGCCAGTGCAAATGGAAAAGAAAGAACGAAGAAGAAAAATGAACAGATGTCACTATCACAAGACTACCATTCATTTTGGGAATATTTCCAACTTTTTTAATGTGTCATAAAGAACGATAAGATAAATATTTACTTGTGAACAATCTCAAAAAATTTACAAAGTGAAAAATGTCGATAGACATAGTGCAAAACCTTTTGCAAAGTCTGTTGCCATTGATTTGGATAAATTCAATGAGATCAGAATTTTTCGTAATCTCCAAAAAATGCGTCTTTTCTACAAAAAAAAATACCACCATTTGCTTTATCATTTTTCTTTAAAATGTGTATGTATGCCAGATGCCTTTTATTTTTCAAATCAAATATAAGCAATTGTATTCGCTGTGATTCACAATTTAGCGATAAAATAGTGAGATCTTCGAGTTGCTTTTTTCCGTTACTTGTCTCTGCTTCACAAATCTTATCGTCACAGTTCGACATGTGTTGGCAGCATTTATCTCAAAATGTATGAAAAAATAATAGTCATTTTAAGATTGTTGTTGGCATTGTTGTGTATTTTTCATCGAATTTTTTTCCACGAATTTAGCTGTTACTTTTACTTTCATTTAGTCAACAATTTCAAAGAAATAAGAAAAATCTTTTGGTATAACTCTAACAATTCTCATCTGGAGAGAGAGAAAAAAGCAGACAAAAGAAGTGAAATATTTTGTGCTGATTATTCTTTTCCGGAAATTTGAGCGTAAACAACACTTGGATGCGAGATTAAAAACTCCAACGGTTTTCAAAGAGCTGATAATAAGAGAAATAAAAAGAATCGTTTCCGATTCAAAAAGACATATTTTTTGCTGCAAAAGATAATTTATGCGAACAACAAGTTGAAACAAAACTACAAGACTGCATTACAAAAACAAAAACAACGATGATCGCCGATAAAGCGAACATGTCAAATCTCTTGTGTATTCGAATAGCGCGCCAATGTAAAATCCAACGAAATGTCAACTTCTCTTGTCAAATCTCCAAACTGTTCGAAATGTCATTGTGAGAAAACAATGAAATTGTGAAATAAATTACAGACAACGACGTGTAGTTTGTCCTTTCTTTGAACTTTATTTCAAATCGTGAATTTAATTTTGAATTGAATTTTTAAATATTTGTGTGAAGGTGTAAAAAGTAGAAATCAAAAAGATGCCAGTCGATTTGGAAGAATTTATTAATGGAATTGCGCTTTTGGCAGATAATCGTAATATGCGTGTTACGTTAAAGCAAAGTGGTAAAGGTGCAGCTGTTTGTGGTGCAATGTGCTTTATTGGCGGTTTAATTGGTGGCCCTGTTGGTCTTGCTGTCGGAGGCACAGTAGGTGGTGTAACTGCATACAAAATGTCTAGCAGTAAGTTGATCTCATTCATTAAAAATAAAATTAATTTTACGTCATGTGTCACACCACACTAAATTATTCATGTTTGTTCATGATAGATTTCCGAACCGTCGGTGATATCATTCAGAACGAATTAACGCAAGAGGAGAAGTGGCGTTTACAAGAACACATTGTCAATTCCGTGCGACAAATTCATCCGACCGATATCGCAATGCTGTTACCATTGATTATGAACACACCATCGTTACAGGAAGCAGTTTTAAAGACAGTCGTCACATTTATTACAAACGAAATGCGCTATACGATCGCCAATTGATTTGTGTAACCTTTGATCGCATCGCACTCCAATCTTTATTAAGAGCCATATCGTTATAATTTGTTTTACTTTTCCTCAAATCTAATTCGCGAGTAGGATTTTATACAATTAGTGATTATGACAGAATTTTAGATCGATTTAAATGGGCACGATTTCGCATTGATTTTTAACGAAATTGTGATAGTTGTAGATAATATTTGTACTTTTTTATGTGTGAAAAGATGTAAATGCAAATTGGATGAAAATTTTTTTTAGAAAATAAATTATACAAAAGAAAACCTTGCACAATACATTTTCGAATTTGATTGAAGGGGTTATGCATCACAGCAGTGATTTTGTTTGCCTTGCTTCACGTAACACGTGTAACCGATATCGTACAATTTTTAAAAGAAATGTATAGTTGAAATGATCAAAGTTTAAAGTACCAGTTTTATATTCATTCTTCTTTTTAATATTGTTTATTTTGTTCCATTTTTAATATGCTTCTTCAAAAAAAGTTTGAAAAAATTCTAAAAGAACACAGATTTAATGCAGAAACTATTTTAAAAATGGAAATCAATAGCAACTGCTATTTTATTTGAGTTTATTAGTCTATGATAAATTTCGCAGCAATTCGGCAACGTTGGGGAAGTCTGAAACGATAGAGTTGATCGCAGTCAAATTTAAAAAAAACTTGATTTATTTTAGAAAAACTTCGATGTATTATACCATTTCGTTGAGCTAGTTCAATTGCTCTGTCACCATCAACATTTCTATCGGAAATTCTCGCACCACTTTCGATCAGGAATCTAATGATGGAAGCATTTCCATGCAAAGCAGCCACCATGAGCGGAGTGTATCCTTTCGGACCAACAAAATTCACGTCTGCACCATGTTGAATTAGTGATCGAGCTATATTTTCATTGCCTATTCATTGAATAAAAGATTCACAAAAAAATTCTCCAAATTAACTGTATTTAATTGCTATTCGAATTCTAGCTTTAAATTAGTCGTCATTTGAATATTTCAAAAAAGTATCAAATATATTTTGCTGCTACCGAATAAAATACAAAAAAGTTTTGAATTCAGAATTACCAAGGTCAATTGCGGTAAGAAGGGCATTGAGACCGTCTAGAGTTTTGGCATGAACATCGGCCTGATTCTCAATTAATAGTTTTGCTATGCTCTCTTTACCTATTTTTTCACAAATACAAACAATATAATGATGCAGATCAAATGTAAGATTGGCCATTTTTTGGAACCAACTCTTATTTATATATATGAAATCACCTCTTCGAATGGCGAATATCAGAGGAGAAAAACCCTTAATTGTAAAATTGGGATCCGATTTGTGTTCCAACAGCGTTTTAACCATACTCACCGAACCTTTTAAAAAAATTAATTTTACTTAGGTGTTGTCATGTAGATATATAAATACAAATACCATTTCTAAGGACAGCAAGCGTTAGGGGAGAAAATTCTGTAGTTTTTTCGTTGGCATTTATACCATGTTCAAGCAAATCTCTTGCAATCGCCACGTTATCTACAAATAAATATGAATTGGCTTTGGAGATTATAGTTACGAAGAAATAACCAACAACAATTACCACGCATAACAGCTATTTCAAGCGGTGAAGGTGTACCATTGGATTCAACACTCATATTTACGCCATGCTCTAGAAGCGCTCTGACAACAGACTGTTTATCTATGAATCGTTTTACAAGCAATTTAATTTACTTTATATAGAATTATTTTCTTTTTTAATTTGTGGCACATGCCCAAAAATATTTTGATAGATTACCATTGTAAATGGCGACTGATAATGCAGTACGTCCTTTATCATCTTTAAAATTAATATCTTTACTAGATTCGATGTACTTTTGAACGGTTCTTAAATCGCCTGGAAAATAAATCAACTTTTAATCTGCAGAGAGAGAGAGCAATTTTGTTCATTAAATTGAACTACGTACCTTCTTGAGCTGCATATAAATATTCCATACTGCCAAGAAAAAGAATTTTTAAAAATATCTATTTTTTACTTTGACATAGACTGACTGCCAATTGCTATTCGCTTATTGGTTTTGAGGGAAGGAGATGAGTTTGAAAAAATAATGCCACTCCGTCACTTTCGTACAAAATAAATAAAGGAACGATTTTATGTCGTCGCATACGCAATTGGCAGCTACTGGCAGTACAGTTTACTAAATCTTTACTAAATTCTTTAGAAATTCTTAGCACTTACGGTTTAACTCCAAACCCTAAAAAAGAAAACACGTATGTTATATAGAAATGCGTTTATTGTTAAAAATTAATTAAATATGATATGAGAGAAAGAGTTAGTATATAATCTGATTGCACGAAAGATGAAAATACCAAAGAGATCAGCTAGACTCCATCCGTGTGCCACGGTGATAAATAGTGCCAGTAATAAAATAGTCTTCATCTTGTGATTCCCTCTACAGAAATTCCAAATTAAATAGGTCAAATTGAATCTTACTTATTGAAAACAAATTTCAAATGACAATAAATGAATTTCGTTTATTGCCCTTTCGGTCACAATGTGTTCGCTGAATATAATAATAAAACTGAATCGAAAATAGCCACAATGCATGAAACAAAGCTTTGTTTGAAAATAAAAAAGTGATAAAGTTATGGTGAGTGATAGCCTTTTGACCCCTCGCATGCAATCTATTAATATACTTTTAAAGTGAAATGCCAATACATAATAATAATAGTTGTATATCAATTCCAAATCAAGAAAAATATTTACGTATAAGGCTCGTACAGGCTGTTGTAGTACCAGACATTAGGTTTGAGCTATGGATATAGCGGCTGCTATTTCATAGGCGCTGTTCATAGGCACTATTTATCTCGTTTTAATGCATTTATGCATATTGTGCGTTATTTTCTACATCTCTCTCCTACTCACATTCAAATGTACAAAAGAATAGTAGGCTATGAATAGTAGGCTATTCCTACTCGGTGTTACAAACAGCAAACGAATTAAATAGCGCCTATGAATAGCGGCTATGAAATAGCAGCCGCTATATCCATAGCTCAAACCTAATGTCTGTGTAGTACATCAGTAGTGTGCGGAGGGGGGTTTACCTCCCTGTGATTTGGATGAGAAATTTTTTTTCGCCAAAATTATTCGAATTTGCTAGGGTTTTTGATTCAAAAAGTGAAGAGCTTTTTTTTAGCTCATCAATGTAGAAAATTGAGGAGAATTCTTTCAATTTGCTAGGGTTTTTGGTCCCGATAGAATTTTTTCCGATTTGCTAGGGATTTTCGCCTCAAAAAGTGACTTCCAAATAAAAAAACGAAAATTTGTCTGATTTGCTAGAGAATTTTTTGGTTTCGAAAAATCACCCCCCCCTGAAAAATTTTCCTCGCACACTACTGTAGTTCATATAAATATGTACCAAAACTGAAACTAGACAAGAATCATAGTGTATCACAAAAAACTGGTTTAATATGAAATGTATTTGAAAAATTCCACTTAAATTATAAAAAATTTCTCATTTTTATCTGACTTCAAAAGATTCAAAAAAGTGTTTTTATTGCTCACGGAATTTTTAAAATTTAATGCCAACAAAAATTGGTCTCATTAATACCAGATACATATCTTTTACAAAAGAGATTGACGATTCGATGTTTTTTTGTACAAATTACTACAAATTAGAGAACAAAATTGATCAAAATAAAAAAAATGTCCTTAAAAATAAATTAAAAAATCACGATTCAATATTTGTGCCTTCGGTGTCATTTTTATCTGCGTCTATTTCATTCGCATCTTCAGCATCGTTAATTTTATCATTTTCGTTGCATTCGCAGGTCATCGCACCGTTGAATATTTTTTCATTGAGTGCGATGACGGTGCGACAAAATTCAAAATTATTCAATTCTATAAAATCCGCAATGAACACATTTGATGTCGGTTGGTTGTTGTTTAACGAAAATGGCCCTGGCCTTTGTAATTTTATCCAATCGGTCATCTTTTTGCTTACTCTAGCCGCACATTTTTTCTTCAACGACGAGTAAAATCTGTAAAACAAATAGTAAAATATCAATTCATTGATATATTTTGGTATATTCAAAGAGTGCTTTGAATTGTACCTTGGTACGATGTATTTAACAGGTGGCGTAAGCACACATTGTGTGACATATCCAGTATTGGGAGATCGATATTTAATACGTGCATCTAAACTTTCTTCCAGCTTCTTAACATTAATTTGATTTGGCCACGGAGTGGGATAACAGCCACCAGCCCAAAATTCCGGCGGTACGTGCGAATATCGATACACAACCAATATTTGTTTTTTCAATGAATTGGCCGAGTCTAGTGTTAACTTGGTGAGTGGACCGAATGATGGGGTGAAGAATTTATCTTGGAACATTTTGAAGAAAATCTTGTTGAGACGATCATAATCTCCGTTCGAAAAATTGTAAAAATGTTGACAATCGAAGATGACAAACTCCGTGGGATGCTCGTCCAAAAACTTTCGTATCTCTCGCAGTGGCTCGGTGATTTCTTCACAATACAATCCATGCACAAAGTAGAAATTGAAACTTTTTGGTTGCATACAAATGCGCAGATCTAAATAACTGAAAATATCATAAATTATTCATGGCCTGGAAATGCCTATGTAATTTACATATAAACGAGTGAGACTCAAACATGTTCTTCTTTTTCCATCAAATATACCAGTGGCGCCACCAATTTTACATATAAGCGCATACAAAATTTTCAATATGGCTGCGCCCATGAGAGAGAAATTTCGTCTCATTCATTTCCGCCCCATGAAATTATTGTTCAATTAATTCTGCGAATTTTCAAATGGAATTGCAAATGGTTCGAAATGACTTTGCCTTGGCCTTATTAATTCATAGATTTTTATCGAATTTTAAAATAAATGAATAAATGCAAAAGCATGCCAACTGATCTAATATCTGTAAATATTTCAAACGGTTTCTAGCGCAACTGGAATATGTATATTTATTGAAGTGTGCCGGAAACAAAAAAAAAACGTATTGTATGTTCAAAATAAGTCGTACAATAGTAAAAACTATTTTGCAAAAGTAAAAATCAACTCGAACTTGAAAAATATTTTTTGAATGCAATTCGATTTAAATGCATACCGTATACCATGGTTAAGCTGCTCCAATGCATTCAATTTTTGTGTAATCGCCCAACGACGAACAACACATGGCAGGACTTTGTACAGATGACTAACGACTGGTTCAGCATCGGGTGCGACTTTGGCCAAACGGCTAATACCATACGACATTGAGTCATGACTTCCTAGAAATAGACCATGACATAAGTTTCATTCAATAATTTTTATTGTTTCGAGTTTTTGCCAAGAAAATCAATGAAATTGAAAATACCTGGAATGGCTAAGTTAATGATTGGAACTTGTTTTATTGGTTCTGGCAGTAGTGTCATCCATTCTGTAAGATTTTGCAGCGAATCGTCCATTTTCGTGTAGCTAAAAAAAAAATTCATTCGAATTAGAGCGAATCGTTTATTTTCATTTATTAAAACAATGCCATATTTAATTCAATTCAAAGTTTTGTCGGAGTTTATGCGTCAATGCATGTACATTTGAAATGAGCGATAAAGTCTCGAAATGATAAAGAATTCAAAGTTGAAGGGAAATTGTTTATGAAATAAAGATAAAATGTTTTCGAGAGCTTGAATTGCATGCCACACACAATGATTAGTGTTTCCTTTTGCTTATTATGAATTGCATTTCCTATTTGAAAATGAACTTTGGTCACTCTATGTTGTGCATCTCCAATCACTGTATATATGTTATATGGAATTTCTCAGAAAATAGTTGTTTATTTAAAATAAAACATTGCATTGAATACGCCTTTAAAAGTAAATGTTTATTTGATTTGAATGGCAAACATAATAGTTTCTTTGAAAATACATTGATTGAATACATTGATGACACTGTGATCAAATGCGGGTAATTGATAGTTAAAATCGAAAGTATTTCAATTGTCGTAGCCGCAAATACTATCGACACAAAAAACAAACAAAATGTAATCACATACCGTAGGTCAAAACACCATAGAAACAATTGTAGATGTTTACAATTTATTTAAAAAAAGAAGATCTGAATTGACTCTTTTTTATGTTGATTAAATAACAAATTGGTGAAAGTGTTCGGTTTGGTCTCTTTGTTTCACCGATGTATTCACGATCGCGTAAATAAACTACTTGTTTGAGTATGTCGCGATCAATTTCGACTCTGTTCGTACAAAATCTTACAGAAATTATAATGTTACCAGAACCAATAATGTAATAAACAACAATAACAGACACAAAAATTGATTGGTGTGTGAATGCGAACACAAAATGCGAACGCTGAATGTGTGACACACATACAGCGCAAAATATACAACAAAATTACATCTGATCGGGTCAACAACAAAACATCTGTGTACAACACACATACACATTCACACGCGCAAAAAATAAACTCCCCACTTATGTCGCATACATACACATTTTGTTGTCAATTGAGTGTTAGTTTGCACGTTTTGTCGTTCATAATTCATGTAAAAAACGGTGGCAAAAAATATATATATTACGGAATCTTTAACAAATAGCGACGGGTATTGGATTTTAATGGGATTTACAGTGACATAGACGATGTTTTGTAGCTCAATGTCGATTCTATAAATATGTAAACAATGAATGTTTTGAATTCGACAGTCACTACTCACAAACTGAAATATGACTCACTGACAGCGAATTGCATTCCTATTCGTAAACCTACAAATGGAACTATGACAATCAATAACACATTTTGAATTTTAAATTGCACCAATTGGATTGAGTGGGGATTTCGTGGTTCTATTTCGCAACGAAAAAATCAATTTTATTATTACCCGTTTCAATCATTTATGCTTCATGAATTCGTCTTTGGCTATGGTTTTTTTTCCAATAGGGTTTCAAATCTCGAAGCCAAACACAAAGTTCATTACCAATGACACAACATTACAACGCAGCACAGGCATTGAAATCGCAAGAGAAAAACAGAGACGGCTATAGGTGTTCGTTTCGTCTTGGTGACTCGTATGAGTGGTGTTGTGCGGCTGTTGTTGTTGTTGTTGTTGTTTGTGTACGACATTTGGTGCATTCGGTATTCGCGGTTGCTATGAATGTTCGCTAAAAATTTCCTCTCTGTCTCATCGATGTGTATCTTTGGTTGATTCGTTTAGTCGGCAAGTAGTGTTCATCGCTCGTTGTTCGCGTTCAGCTCAACATTGTTCGCATCGATTTAGTATTTGAAGTGAAGAAGAATAAGCAGCAGCAAAGAAGAAACAAAAAACATACATATACACACACACCGTACAAGCAGTGGTAATAATAAAATGTGCAAAGAAATAGAAAACAAAAATAAATAATTTATTATTTGTAAAAAAAAGGGCGGCGAAACTAATTTCACTTCTACAGAAGTTTTTTTCTTCTTCAACAGTGATGAGTCGTTGTGAATTTATTGAAATTGTTAATCATTAGACATTTTGCGTTCGACAAAGAGAAAAAAAAAATAAAAATAATTGAATTTTGCAGTCGGCATGGAATGTTTATTTCGGGTTTTTTCATCTGCGTTGAACAAAAAGAAGACATAAAACGCCAACGGAGTCGAAACAAAAGCCACGAGCGAATCAAGCAATTTTATCAATGTCGGAAATTTTATTACGTGCATTTGAGATGGAGCTATTGTTTTGTTGGTGAATTCTGTCTTTTTTTTCTTCACACTGCACTCTCTCCCGAAGCGGACGCTCAATGCGCAAAGAGAGCCAAATTTCGAACATAAGATTGATCAACACATATACGCACACATACAGCCTCTGGTCCCATATCAAAATCCAGCCATCCTAAAAATATCTTCGCAATTTTATGAAATTTTCCGATCTTCAAAAACATCCTTTCATTCTCAGTTGCCTATCTAAGAAAAAAAAACGAATTGCACGTCAAAAATTGAACCATTTTTTTTCGGTCGGTTCGGTATATTTCCATTCAACACACATACATACAGTCGTTGTATCGTCGTTGCTCCCCTTGGTCGTTTGCGATTCCGGCACCAAAGGCAATTTCCTTGTTTCATTCTATTCGTGTCTGTGTACGCATATCAAAAACCATAACACTGTATTAGTGAGAACATAAAATTGAATATGTAGATAGAGAGAGGGTGTGTTCGTCGAAAATCAAAATTTACGCAAATCATATTGCATTTAGTCTTGTTGAGTTCATTTTTTTATGTTTCATTACTTAAGCAAACACAAAATCATTTGAATTTCTCTTGAAAATTAACAAAACAAAAAAAGAAAACACCATTCGACAAATGTTGTCAATCACGTTTGTCCGGTGTATGTGATTCGGAAAAGGTTTTTTTTTTTGCATTTCGATTCGGTTGGATGAAGCCAAGTCGCTTATCCGTAAATAGAAAACAACAACATCAAAACAATACGGCACGATAACAACGGCTGTTTAGGGTGTTCTTTTTTTCTATATTTATGCATTGTTGCCGCCTGTAACAACACATTACACAAATTTAAAATGACGGAACAATGCAAACATCAATTCAATGATTGACATACAAAAAGAAATGATTTTGCATGACATTTTTCAACGATAAAATACGGATAATTCAGATTAACAAATGATTATTGCTTTTATATTTGAATTTAGAATTGAAGAAAGAAGACAACAGAAGTCGTGGCAAATGTCAGTGCTCGATTAAAATAGATAAGATATAAGCCGAAAATCAATTGACGTGATTCATGTGAAACCGAAAAGAACAAAACAAAAAAAAACATTTTAAGTGTCTGTTGTGTCATTTTGTTTTATAGTGAATTCTATATGTGATTTTATCGATTAAATTGAATAAATTGTGTAAATTGTCCATGCATATAATATCGACGAGTAAAGAGGGATATACATAATTACAAAAGACCAGGTAAATTATCTAATTCCGTTCTAACACATGCCAAACAACAACAGAACAAAAAAAATTAGAAACAAATCGTATTTACATTGGCATCCAACTGGTTATTGCAATTCGCATTGAGTTTGATTATTTGCGACTCGCAATGCACGTTAATTTTCATGATTATGTATTCGAATGATTGTTTTTTGCATGTTAAATGGTGAATGCATGTACTACGTGTGTGAGAATTATCAATAAAAATTAAATTGTAATTGGTGACGATCGCAGCAGCAACGGCATCAACAATAAATGTTGATTTCTACTGCCTGATGGCATCATTCTCTCCACCGATATTAGTCATTCGCATCTATCTCTAACTCTCATACGGATACATTAATTCATCATTTGAATTTCTGTACTTTTTTTCTGTGCTGCACCGTTGTTGTTTTTTTTTGTTTGTTGTTTTCACCGACCCAAGACTACGAATGTATATCGAATGTGATTGAAATTGGCCTTGAAATGAAGTTGAATTTATGCTCGACCGTGATAACCGGTCGTCATCAACAATTAGGAAATTTTGTCGCATTGATAAATCATTGAATTAGTGTCAATCTTGGCTCTTCTTCTGATGTCATTTGAATTCACCGTTGGTGATTTTAAATTGACTGGTATGAAATCACCATCTTTCGTTCCACTCCATAAAATTGAATGTTATCAGCGATAAAATCGAATTCGAATACAAATGTATCAACGTTTGAATCATTTGAAGAAAAATCAATGTGCGCAACGAACAAAAGAAACACACACGGAGAGAGAAAATCGCTGATGCTTTGTGTGGCATTATGCTGACTTGGATTTTCGATAACATCATATAAAAATTACAATGCAATCAGTTTTTTTTCTGCTGCTGCTGCTACTGTTCGCCCATATATCGTTTCCCTTTGCTTTTCGCATCAAAATCATCCTGTCCGATGATGACGATGATGTCTTTATAAACGCCGCTAAAACGAGGTATATGTTTTACGTTGTTCAGTCGTATCGGGCGAATGATGGTATAAAATGCAACAAAGTGTGTTATGCCTACGTGATAGAGCCTGATATTCGGAGCCGCATGAAAAATGCTATAATATTCCTTTTTGTCATATTTCCCCATTCGCCTGTGCACTCAACAGCAACAACAACACATCGTCGTGTGAGTTGTGTGTGTCGAATGTCGCGCTACCATACATGCCCGGTGTCAATGTGGTGGTGCGTGTGTGTGTGTCTGTGTTTGAGTGTAAATGCTAGCTAGCGAGTTTCTTACCGTACAAGTAACGAACGAAAAGCATATATTGGCTCATTGCCTTGTGAAACCGTATGGCAACTCATGCAAGACTCTGCATATCGATTGCGATATCGAAATTGAATACCAGCCAAACACAAAAGCCGCACAACTTTATACAGAGAGGGAAATACAATTTTCGTACGTTTATATGCAACTCTTCAATGCATTGTGATTTATTTTATTTTTTTCTCTTCGTTATTTTGACGAATTTACGCGCTCCAATAGTCTGCACAACACACAGTATGGACTGCAATTTAATCTTATGCAATGAGAGAGAGTTTTTCAGTTCAATTAGGAGAGATAAAGAGAGAGAGTGCCAGAATGACAAAGAGATATGGAGAGAGACAGAGAGAGAAAGAGATCAAAAAAGAATTAAAAAAAATGGTGTGCGGTTGTTTTTGTCGTCAACTGACTGTTCCATGTTTTTGTGAGTGGAAACAATAATAATCAACAATAAGCATGTTTACCGTATGATATACGAGCGACACTAAGAACGGATGGAAATGATGATAAAAATACTAAACACCATGAAGTTGCTCTGTCTCTCTTTCACTCTCTCGGCCCAACCATTTCAATCGACAAATGATTACATATTCATGCATTTTTCTGCAAGCTCAGCGGTTTTTTTTTCACTTCTCTCGGTTGACCAAAAAGATAAAACACGAACTGCACACTGATTTCACGTTGAATTCATTGTGTTTCACCGAGCCTTTGTATGTTTCTCTTTTTTTTGTTTTTATTTCGCTTTTACCAGAAATTATGATGAGAGAAAATACTTCAGAGAGTTTATTTCATGGTAATGATTCATTGAATCGATTGTTTCGATACATATTACATTTCTCCATTTCAGTTTTTGTTTTTGTTTCAAATTGTTTCAATTATTCGTATTGTATTACTTTTGATTGTTCCTTCTGTTTTCGCTTCGGTGTTCTACCTTTGCTAAAATCACTCGCCACACAATGATTTCTAATTCAATTTAGCTGGTTGTGTGTGTGTGTTCGATTTCATTGAATCCGGCTGATCATTTGTTTTGAGCATTTAATCGCATTATTACTTTTTATGATTATTACAGATGAGCGTGTGCTGATCTGATTTTAATTTCTGTTTTAGTAATCGAGTGTGTTTGTGCGAACGCATAATCAAGCACTTGAAACAGCGGCGCGCACAATTATTAAATTTATGGCCAGAATGAATGAGTGCACTCACGATGTCGATACCAGACATTTGCCAGTTGCCAGTTGTCATGTTGTTCTTTCTTTTTTTTTTCTTTTTTTCAATTATTGTTTTTCATTCTGTCTATGTGATATTGCTGCCACTGCTGCTGCTTTTGGACCACAAACATACTTTCCGTGACGAGTTTCATTTGCAGGCTCTCACTCGATCCACAAACTGAATTCCGTCCGATGAAGTCGCGCGGCGGCTCGATGATACACAAAGAACGCAATGAATTTGGCACAGTTCTCTATATATTGAAATGAAAACCATATAAACGAAACGATGCTAACTGTCTGTCAGCTTCGGCGTCATTTATGCTTTTTAAATGAACTTTTCTTCTCATCATATTGCCATTTTGCAAAACAGATACACACATGCTATTGCTTCAAGTGTTGATGTTTCTTGTTTTTTTTTTGTCGAGTCGAAAGAAAAGGCGAAAAAAATTATGTCGAAAACATACTGGTTCATAGCAGCGTATTCAGCAGTGCGAAATTTCGCGAAATACATAGAAAGAGAAAAAAATATCAACGTTGGCCATTGACCTGATGCTATATTGCCGCTGAGTCACAATAAAAAGAAGTGTTGGACATGTTTTTGAACGATGTCACAACACTAAAATAATTTTATTGAATTATCGTTTATCACTGCGTGATTTCAATCCCGAAATGAAAAATAAACAGAAAGAATTACGTGAGTTTTTGTGTGTGTTGCGAGATTAAGGCGAGACAAATCAGAGAAGATAACGAAAAAAAATAAATAAATGGTCGGCTTAAGCAAAAAATCACGTCATCGATTCCGTTTGGTGAACTTTTATAACTAGAGTTTAATCACTCTTCATCGAAATCACTTGATGGACAATGACACCGGTTACGCATTTTCAGTAAATTTGCATTGTTATGAGTTTCACTCGTTAACTCTCTCTCTCTGTGTCTCTCTCTATCAAGAGAGAGCCGGCTCTTAACTTGATTGCTATAATTTTTAGTTTGTCTAATAGTTAGTTTCGTAAACTAACTGGCCAAATGAACATTTAATGTCATTCATCCGGCGATAAATGCTTCATCGCAGTTGACAACCAACGACCATTTTTTTAAAGTATGTATCTTTACCATTTCTGGCCAACGCAAAGTGGAGTAGCAGCGAGAAATTATAGATATTTTGGTTGCTTTCTTTTTTTGTTTTTGTTTTTGGTCGTACTCTTTGGCACGTTGATTTTTAAATAGAAAATATAGTGTATAATTTGGGTTTGAGTTTCGGTCGATGGTTCATTTGCTCCAGTCAAGCGTAAAGAAGGCACAGTGTTACATTTGAAAATAGCACCAAAATAGAAAACTAGTAATTATCTCTCTCGCTCAAAATTACAAATTACAAATTCTATCTCGTAGTAGAAATAGAAATACGAGAAAAATAAGATGAAAAAAAGAAACATTCAAAATGAGCGCAAAGCATACGAAATAATAACCCGAACGCGAGTGCGCAACATCAGTTCTTCAGTTTATATCGGGGCAAATGAGCGCCTCATGCCATTTACAATTTCTGAATCTGAAATGCAACACACACTCACGACCGAAGTGAATATGAACCAAGATAGCGTGCACACATTGTGGCGACTGATAAAAATAGCGTCAAATACGAAGCGCAACTCACTAGCGCGCGCACTTCGACCAATTCCATGCCATAAATGAAAAGTGCAACCGATCAAAAATGCACCGTTGCATTCACGTAAAACGAAAGTAGAAACATCGGTCGATTCCCGGTTCTAACGACGATTTAAAATACAGTCATAAGCATTCATCGCTTTGATTATTTCGTTAGATCTATGTGGCACAAGCACACAATTCTCGCATCATTAGAATGTTGTTATATTCGCACAATCTAATGTCGATTTCTTGTTAAATGGAGCTGGTTTTTAGCTAAGAGAAAAGTGGCCCAATTCAAAGCATAAATAAGAATTTTCATACCTTTTACTCGGCGTTCAAAATCAATTTATAACTTATTATATATTCTGCATAAGCAGACAAATCTATATATATGAATATCGTATTGATTGTTGCGCGCATCGAATCGAACAAGTTGAAATTGAAAAATAAAATAACGTTCACTTCTCGTCTTTCGCTCCATTTTCGTCTTCTTCATATATTCTTCTTATTCTCCTTTTACCTTCTGCACCAAAGTATGATGTGTTTTGATTCGATCACAGAACAGTCAATCTATTTTGTTTTATTTTGTTTCGCTATTAGAACAAATACAGCATAAATTGACCGACACACTAAACAGTTTTTTTTTATTGAACACATTTTTCTATTGCCATTGCTTCGACAAACAAAAATACTGGGTCTTTGGAGTGCGATTGAGCTCATTGCGGAATTTTTCATCATGTTTTATCAGAAATTGTGCCAACAAATAAACATAGTACACTGTATATAAATTGTACATAAACACTACACTGGTCACATTTGATTGCATTTATTGAGCTCAATATAGATATTTGTTATTCCACTCATTACAGCCGATTGCAATATTATGATTATAACATTTCGTCTCGTATCGTATATGTATATGTAGGATTTTTTTTATCATTCCATTTATTCCATTTCATTTCTCTAATTTTGTTCTCTTCTTTGCTTTGCTCGTTTTATAGGTATCGATTTTCATTGTCTAGAGACACAATTCAGCACTGATTGAATTCATTGCGCCTACTACGAAACACATAACCAAATAAAAAACAACAACAACAACAAAAAAATTGGCGTTGATTCGTGAGCAACACCGAATCAAGTAAGCTGAAAAAAAATGGCGTGGCGTTTTAAAGCATCCAAATATAAAAATGCTGCACCCATCGTACCCAAGCCAGAAGTTTGCATTCGTGACATTGTGTAAGTAAAATTCATAAATTTGTGACCAAAAATATACCATCATCACATTGAATTATTGTTATTATGCTCTTGAATTTAATATTTGTTTAATTATGTGTTCGTTATAGTGTTGGGTCATATCAAACGTATGGCAACAATATCGCTGCTTCGGCCGCTTTTATGGCCTTCAATTGGGAACATGCTGGGTCAAGTTTAGCTGTGCTGCCGCTCGACGATTGCGGTCGTAAAAGTAAAAATATGCCATTATTACACGGACACACAGACACGGTTACCGACTTACATTTTTCACCATTTCACGATGGTCTGCTTGCAACTGGATCACAAGATAGTCTTGTAAGTTTGAAATTATTCGCAATAAGCCGAAAGTAAGCCGATTAGAACGGCAATTGTCAACACACACGAATTTCAGCAAATATTCACTTTCAGTGGCTTTCTTTTCCTAATTCGAGCCGTTTCGAGAAAAAAACCATCATGTTTCTAATATGAATGAAACTTTCTTTCCTCCAGGTGAAACTTTGGCATATCCCCGAGAAGGGTTTGGAGCAATCGTTGACCACTCCAGAGTGTCAGTTTACACATAAACAGCGACGAGTTGAAACCGTTGGTTTTCATCCAACGGCCGATTATTTGTTGCACTCAACAGCAGCCGGAAATATAAATCTGTGGGATTTAACAACACAAAAAGAAGTGTTCGGCAGCAATGAGCATCCCGATGTTATTCAGTCACTCAGCTGGAAACTCGATGGAACTTTGATGACCACAAGCTGTAAAGATAAAGTCGTTCGTATCGTTGATCCAAGATCAAATGTTCCAATTACAATGGCCGCCGATAGTCATCAAAGTATCAAAGATTCGCGTGTTGTTTGGCTTGGCACTCAATCACGTATTCTAACTACCGGATTCGATTCGGCCCGTTTGCGTCAAATTATCATTCGAGACTTGCGAAACTTTAACACACCGGAAAAAACATTGGAATTGGATTGTTCTACAGGTGTTTTAATGCCATTGTACGATCCAGACACAAATATGCTCTTTTTGGCCGGCAAAGGTGACACCACAATCTCATACATGGAAGTTACAGATAAAGATCCATATTTGATTGAAGGATTGAGACATAATGGTAAAGACAATCAATTTAATTACAGACATTCTACTGAGATAAGCTGAGCCAGTGGAAATATCTCACATGACTGCTGAGCTGCTAATTTTTTTTAAAGAGTTTTAAAGAGGAAATATAGAAAAGAAAGCAACTATGCTCCGCCAAATGAGATATTTCAACTGTCTGACAATATTTGACAAAAAAAAAAAATAGGTTTAAACCCACGGCTGATTTTTAAATATTTTGCTTTTGTCTTTATCAGGCGAGCAAACAAAAGGTGCGTGCTTGGTGCCAAAACGTGCGCTTCGTGTGATGGATGGTGAAGTCAATCGTATCATGCAATTAACATCAAATTCAGTCATACCGATTATGTATCAAGTGCCACGTAAAACATACCGTGATTTCCACAGCGACTTATATCCCGAAACGAATGGTTATAAAACTGATTTAACGGTGACGCAATGGTTGAAAGGTGTCAACACGCCCGTTATGAAAATGAGTTTGGATCCAGCAAAGCGTGAACTTGGCGACGCTCCAATTATTGTAAGTTAATTAAACGAGTTTATCTAACAATTCGTTTTCATCTCTTTCTCTATCCCACATAACATACTTTTTTTTTGTTTTCAACTCTCATTTTCGACACAAAACCATATCATATTCCATTTTCTCTAAAGCGTTTTTATTTCCGTTTGACATTTCAATTTTCAAAATCTAACTGTATCTATTTCATTTTTCATCCTATAAATCATTTATTTATGTGCACATGTCGTACGATGTCAAAATGTGTGCAAATTGCAATTTGCGGTGTGTGAACAAGGTTCATCGTGGTACATTGCATGAAATGATTAAGAATGATGCAAATAAATGTGCAAAACAAATTGAAAGCAAAACTTCAGTCACGACAACGCCCACATCGTTGCGTCAACAGAGTAACAGTGAAGTTGATAATCGGCATGTGCTTGCATCGGCTCAAAGAACGTCAAATAAATATAATGATGCTATTGATGATAATGAAACAAGCAAACCGCTGTCAAAGATGGATCTCATTAAGAAATTCGATAGCAAATACAATCAATCCGAAACGGTTGATAATAAACAGTCACAACGCTCAAACTATGACGATCAAAAGATAAACACCATTCCGGATGATGTTGAGAACGATGAAAATATTCAAAATTCAAACAATGAAGAAACAATCGATTCGCCGGATAATCGAAGTCGAAGCAGTGAATGTGATTCGACGGCAAACAATAATTATAAAAATGGAAATCAATACGGTGGTAATAATGCAAATGGCAATGATATTATTCCACCAAAACCGTTACCACGTACTAGTCGCAACAATTCGGTGTCATCACTTTCATCTGAACACGGAATCTCAATTGCAAATCCCATTGATGAAACTCCAGTTCGACCAGTCGCCAAACCACGCACAACCACCACTAGCTACAAGGTTCAGAAACCCCTTCAAAAAGACTCTCAATATTATTATTTGTACTCACTTACGTTTTGCACCGTTTCTGTTTTCGTTTAATTTGCATTGTGTTTTGACACGTTTATTTTTATATTTTCTTTTATATATGGTTTTATTATATATATCGGATTTGGGTTCATTTTTTATATCTCCGTTTACACATGTTTTGTTTTGTTTTGTTTTGTCTAGCGTCTTTTTTAGTTCAGCTTCTTTGATGCGTTGGTTGATCATTTTTTATTTGTTTATTCATATTGGGTCGCTAAAAATGTAAATGATTTAACGAAATTTCACATCCTGCTATTGCTAAAGTTCATAGGCAATGGTAAGAGAAGGAAGTTAGATTCTTTATTTCATTTCCATTCTCGGTATTGGCACCGTTTATCATTTTATTCATAAAATTTTCACATCTGATCACGTAATTTCAAACAAACAAAAATTCGTACTTTATCGAGTGTCGTTTATTTATTATCTATCTCTATCACATGCACGTTTTTATTTGCGACCGGATAATGGAATAGTAACTCATTTCGATTTTATTCTTTGCAGCCACGTTTGGGCCCGAAACCATTCAGTGTCGGATCGGGTGACGTGAATTTCGATAAGGTTTTTTCGGTACCTCAAGCTCCTGGTGCGAACAATCACAATGAAGTCACATCGGATAATCAAAATAAATCGACCGAATCGTCTGATAGTTCCATCGATGTTGACGAACAAAAAGATTCAGATGAAAAAGAAGGTATGGCACTGAAAGCAAATGAGAGATTTTTTTTTCTTTTAAAATGAAAATCAATTGTCGTGATATTTTACAGACGTAATCGTTTATCGGAATGGAAATAACGGTCATTCGATGCACAAGAGTGATAGTTTGGAGGAGGATTTGCAGCGTGCTATTTCAACAGCAGAAAGACGAAAGGTTTGTTGTTATTTTGAGCAATAAAATTTATTACTTCCAATGAAACCTAACATAAAACCACTAAAATTAAACGACACCAAACTAACAACATTTGTCACCATATTCTATGTATTCACAGTTGTCAGAAGCTGCTAGTTCAAAAAAGGTCATACATACATAGTAACACCCACTCATTTGATCTCAAGCTCTCACTTCTTTTACCTTTTCATTTCTTTGCTTTGCAATTTTCCTTGTTTGTACATTTTATTGTTGCGTACATTGTCATTTTTAATCTTCTTATTTTTCTTTTATTATCCATAATTTTTGTGTGAAACCTCCTTTATTTTTTTATTCATTTATTGATCAACTTGGTTTTTATTACATTCGTTTTGATTTCATTCATTTCTTCTGTGTGAACTTATGCTTACAAAATTGAAATAAAATGTGCTAATCCATTGTGTGTTTTTATTGCAAATAGATTTTCGAGAATGCTCGTTTGGAATCTGAAAATACAAGCCATGACAGTACCGACGCTGAGGAAATAAGACGATTAACACAAAATCGAAGCAGTATTGCAGAGCGTCGTCGCCTATACGAGGCTCGATCGATCAGTACTAATGCAGAGGAAAAACCTCCACAGTCTCCTTTGCCAATGTTGTAAGTACTCTGAAATGTCGTGTAAAATGTTTTGGGCCAGAGAAACAGCTGAAATTTTAATTTGTTTATCAATTGAAACAGGCGCAAAGATTCGACAAAAATTCGTAGTGCATCGCCGAGTAAGGCTCAAATTGAAATTGAGGATCGTCGAAAGACATCGCCCATTCCAAATGAAAATAATGGAAAACATGACGATAAAACCGATGCAATATTTCGTAAACCGAATCCAGTCAACAATGGCAATCATATTGCCAATAATAATAAAAATAAACCGGGCGAAGTGACAACGGCAACAAAGCGCACATCAACTGTTTTCGGAAAAGTGTCGAAATTCCGTCATTTAAAAGGAACACCAACGCACAAATCAACGCACATTGAAAATATTCGAAATATTAGCCGCCAGATACCTGGAGAATGTAATGGATTCCATGCAAATTATAAGCGTGTCGCAGTGCCATTGTCGGGCCCTGGTGGAAAAATAGCCGTTTATGAGTTGAGCAAGCCAGGTAAATAATTGAAATGCAAAAAATCACCTCAATAATTATTTGGCAACCGGGCAATGTTAAAATGAAATATTTCAATATTTAAAATAGGTCGTTTACCCGATGGTGTCATCCCTTCGCTTGTAAACGGTAGCAACATCATGGATTTCCAATGGGATCCATTCGATGCAACTAAATTGGCAGTTGCATGTGATGATGGTGTTGTTCGTCTGTGGAAAGTACCCGAAAATGGTCTTACTGAACCAACAAATCAACCGGAAGGTGAACTAGTGGCACACTCCGACAAAATCTACTTCATTCGCTTTCATCCATTGGCCAAGAATGTTTTGTTAACCGCCAGCTATGATATGACCATTAAAATTTGGAATTTGGAAACGCTTGCCGAGGAATTGTGCTTGAAAGGTCACACAGATCAAATATTCGATTGTGCCTGGAGTCCGTGCGGTGTGTATGCGGCCACGGTTTGCAAAGATGGTAAGGTTCGCATTTTCAATGCACGCAAATCAGAGAATCCAATTCATGAAGGTCCCGGACCAATTGGCACACGTGGAGCACGCATTACTTGGGCCATAGATGGACATTATATTGTGTGCACCGGTTTTGACAAGTAAGTTTCAATAGTAAAATCGACTGAAATGTGATTACGACTAAAAATCATTGACTTTTTTTTTATTCAGAGTTTCGGAGCGACAAATCAGCATTTATAAAGCAACCGATTTGGCAGCACCAATTAACACAGTTGGATTGGATGTTTCACCAGCTATCCTTATTCCATTCTACGATGAAGACAGTTCCACCTGTTTCCTAACCGGAAAGGTATTTATTCTTATTGACACAAATTCAACTCTTGTGTAATAATATCTAATGAAACCTTTTTATGTCGGCAGGGTGATTCAACGATTTACGCATTTGAAATAACTGACGAAGCCCCACATATTTGCCCATTGTCGCATCATCGTTGCGCAACATCACACCAAGGACTAAGCTTTCTGACGAAAAACCATTGTGACGTATCGTCCGTTGAGTTTGCAAAAGCATTTCGTTTGACAAATAATACAATTGAACCACTCAGTTTTACTGTGCCACGCATCAAGGTGAGTTACTATATCGATTATTACGGCTTTGGATTTTTGAAACAATATTCTATACTAATGACAATCACGTTTGACACAGAGCGAATTATTCCAAGATGATTTGTTCCCACCAACGCGGGTCACATGGATTCCAACATTGACAGCCGGTGAATGGTTTAATTGTCGTGACAAAAAGGTCAAGAAAATCAGCTTGCAACCCGAGGGAATGGAATGCTGTAAGTTTACTTCTTTTTGTTGTTTTCAATGGGGTTTCACACTCAATTAAATATGCAACAATATAACATCGATCCAACATCGATTTTGTGTAAAATCAAAATCCATGAAAGAACGATCTTTCCGAATTCGTGGTCAATAACTGACATCAGCTGTGAGAGATGCGGTGGTTAAATTAATAATTTTTTCATTTTTTCTAAATAGTATCGTCAACACTGCCAGCAACCCAACAACCGCCACTAACTCCAAACAAAAAGACTGATCAGCACTCACCACCCTCGAACATTCTGCAATCATACAATCGACAAATTAACACAGACACTGATAAATACAAACAAGAGGAGGTAAGTAGGATTTTTTTATCTATCTGTAGGCAATTTTTTATTATTTCACTGATTGAATTATATTTCTTGTTAGATTCAAAAATCAGTAAGTGCACGCATGGAATACACAACATCGTTGGAGCAAGATAATATGGAGGGCGTCGATGCAGATGAATGGAATGAATAAACACCGATAGGAACGAGTCAAAATCGAGAGATTATTTAAGTCAATAATGATAAGATAGTGAAAGCAGCTGAACAGTGTGTTTATTCATTAAAATAATGAAAAGCGTATAATTTCCTCAATGTTTGCGTTGCCATATATATATTGAAATCAAACATCAGCTTTTATTCGCATTTTAATATTAGTCATTTTTGGCAATTGTACTACAAATATTGTTCCTTTTCCGAAGAAAACAAAACCGATAAACCAACAAACAAAACTAAACGAAAGCATGTGGCAAAATGATCGCACAAAATAACAAAACGTACATTCACATACACACACTCTCTCTCACACACACATTTAATCGATAAAGATAAAACACCTAATTATTCGCTTAGTTCATAAGAAGCAAGTATTAACGTAATGTTTATTGTATAAGAATTGTAATCGCAATTTATTCAATATTTTTTACACAGATGTGTGAGTTCTCGTCGAATAAATGATTCGGTCATTTTTTTTCATACAGACGCTGAATGCACTTGAATGTCTTCTAATTTAGTATTTTCTTTGTTTACAATTTCGAGGTGCATAAAAGAGTTGCTTTTGTTATTTATTTATTTAAAAAAATCGGCATCTTATTTTTTCTTTAGTCCAAATTCAATGTGCTCGTAAAAAAAAATCGGACAGTTATTTTTGTACCGAAAATTTGATAAAACATTCAAAATCAATGCCGTCTACAAAATATGCAATATATTTGTCGATGTGTCACAGCTTCAACCACTTTTAGTTTGCATTTTACAATCCAATAGCAATTCCAGTGAAATGTTCTATTTATTGACGATTAAATAATCTATGTATTCAATATACTTGGATCTACTTAATGATGAAGAAAAAAAACAACAACAATTGTAAATTAAGTTTGTGTGATATTACTAATGCATCAACTATTGAATTAATATAATTATAATTTATTCAATTCTTTCTTAGTTTCGTGTGTTTGCATTGCTTTTTTTCCCTTTTTCTCGATTTTTAAACTCAATATTTACATATTTCATTACGAAATTTACTGCCCTATTGACATCCTTTGATACGAGACTTTTTTTTTTCAATATAAATTAAGAATGTCCACGCTGGAGTAAATTATTATAAAATGTGGCTTAAATGCCTTCTTGATACTCACGTACTTATGACATTGAAATAGAATTCAGCAAAAAATCGTATTTTTTGGTACATTTTTTCAATTGGCCGAATTTGCTTGGTCTTAAGCCAAACATATTCAACAATTTACAGCATGTAGAACTAAATGCTAGGGACTCGTAGCTTTTTTAGTTGGCTTTTCCAAATGTGGAATATGAATTCAGATAAGCAATTCTGAATATTGAAAATGCGAGAATGAAAAAAAACATGCAACGTGCAAATCCTTATTTTGTATTGGTTGAAAAACATAAATTTATTTGCCATAGTACTTTTTATACTTGTAACTTAACTTTTGTAATGCATCATACCAGAACATATGAATTGAATAAAAATTTATTGCTATACAATAACAAAAATGCGTCAATGTGTTTTTATATAAGCGTGTTTAGATAAGAGAGTTTTTTCGTCTACAATGTTCAATTTCAAGGTTATACGACCTTTTGGCAATCGGTTCACCGATGATAATTATCATTTTATTCGAAAGTCGATTTTTTTGTCAACGGATCTGCGTGCATCAAAATAATTGGAAACAATTTTAAAAGGAGACGATTTTTAAAAACGGCTAAAATTCATTGACACTAACTTACCTCTGTTGAAAGAAGAATTTCGGCTTACCTATTTACTATAAATTAACCAAGTAATATAATAAGAAACAAATCATATTTAATTTAAAAATATCGAGATTTTATTAATATTCTTACTGATTAATGGCAGTTATGATAGTACTGCATTGGAATGTTTACACTTTTTTTTTAAATATTTCAATATTTTCGACGAGATTACAACAAAGTTAAATAATTTTCATCAATTTAACAAATTTTTTGAATTGAACCAATTGATTTTATTGGTGAACTTTACCATAAACAAAACAGCATCAATCCTCAAATGAGAACTCCACTTATTTGTTATCAAATGTCGTGATATGAGGTTTCTCAACTCTTTCATGTGTCGGATGTGATCTACGTAAGAAGCGATCGATGGCTTTTCCGTAGATGTAAAATTCATGAGAGCTGGAAATCATTAATTCCTAGGCAGGAATCTTTAAAATTCTCATATTGGAACCTTTTCAATATTACATTGAAAATGCTTCAGAGCTTTAAAGACAACCGCCGCGTTAAATAATGTCAACTCTCTCGTGCTAAATAATGTCAAATCAAGCCAAAAAAGGTTAAAGAGTGATGCATCACAATCGTTCTCACAATTTACTTCGCGGAGCAAATAGCTACACGCGGTTCAATGGGTCGAATTGTAAAAAGCATGGCTTCTCTTTTCTGTGATTGCTGTTCGATAAACTATTTTCGTTGAAAACTGTCGAATGGTCACGGACACACGACACAATGAACGACGTCGTCAAAAATAGTGTATGCGAAAACATAACTCAATCGACAAACTGTCGAGAGTGGCTGAAAAAAACAGAACCGTTTTGTGAATTCATGCGGTGGAAAAATGTATGGAAGATCCGAGTCCGTTGCAACTGAAACCAATGAGAAATCAAACCCTCTGGTTATTTCGATTGGTTTCACATAACTGAAGGGTGGTGCGTTTGATACATTGAGGCAAATACATTCTTTATACTGTCGCAATATAAAGTGCCACTTTTTTCTCCAGACAAAATAGAATAAATTTTTATTTTATTTGTCACGCAAAAAAGTGAATAAAAATGAGAGGGATTTTTTGGGCAAGCCTGAGGAAGCTTTGAAAAAAAATTCGTTTCGAGTATTTGCATTATAAAATCTTGAAGATCGAAATAAGATGAAAATGTGTGGACATTCGGAAATCAAGTGAGTTTTTCGTTTTAATAAAAGAAATTGAATCTCAGCGCATATTCTTCGAACATTTGCTGGAATGATGGTAAATGGCAATTTAACAGGAGTTAAACTGCTCAATTCGATTTCCGATTTGAAACGAACGTTCATTCGATTTGTTATGATGGAATTTTGGAATTTCATTTGCAAGCAATTGAAATTCGATGCAAGTGTGTAATCAATTGTATTCGACATGAAAATGTATGATAAAATTAAAAATAAATAATCAACAATTAATGAAATCCATTGGTTTAATTCCAGTAACCATGCACAGCGCTGCCTATCACAACGACTGTGTACAATTAAAGAGTTTAAACCAATGAGAACTCACAGTTTGTTAGAATATCAATTTTTAATTTTATCAACATTTACACATCGAATCCAAAAGCCATAACTTGCAGCACAAATGCCCACATTTTCATTTTCAATCTCAACAATTTACAATGCGGTTTATATATATATATGAATAATCGCATTTATGATAGTTTCATTGAAAGATAACGACATTCCATCAATGTAATCACCACCTCGATCCACTCCGGTTGGAAATTTATCCAACCTTCAGCTCATGCATGAATCTTTCTATTTAATTCAACACCTTTGTGTAACAATTTTGTGTATATAGAAAAAAATTATTTTTTTTTTCAACACATAAGTCGACACGCAATAGTCAACGCGAACTCATTTCGAATCAAATGTCCAATTTTGCACATAACATCATCAGAATTGAAGATTATTGTCGCCTTCCGACCGTATACACAAAAAAGTGAATTGGCTGGGTGCTCAACAATTTATATCTTTGAGTTCGACAACGTCGAAAGCAAAATCGTAATCACTTTAAACGAAAGAATTTGGCGGACGTTAATTCACAGGCGACTCAAAATCGGTGCGATAGCGTTAAAGTTTTTTTTCGCGGGATGAAAAACTTGTCGCTAAAGGAGCGTGGAAAAAACCCAGTGATTGGCTTATCGCTCAACGATTTAGCGCTCCGGTTCAAATCAGCACATATGTCTTCGGTGAACTGGCAACTTCTTTTCGGCTTGAAATCGATATTCACTCCCACCGCTGTTCCCAATGATCAAATCGTTAGCTTTCGATTCGATCCCCATAGTGAATGCCGATTACAAACATTTTAGCACTTTTCTGAAAAATTATCAATTATAAAATTTATGTACAAAAAATGACTATTAAAATGAAATTATTCGCCACTTTCATCCCAATTCGTTGAATCATTTGAAACTGATTCTTCTAAATATAACATTAATGACCATATTAAATTCATTAAAAATACGGCACAATAAATGTACAAAATAGCTGAATAATAATACGTTAAATGAGGTCCATGAATGGTTTTATCGATGGACATAAGCGATGACTCGCCTCCGCTGCTCTCGAAAAATAACATGGACAGTAGATTCATTTGTCTGCTTTTGATGTCGAGTACTGTATTTGGTTTCAGCCTCGCTGATTCAATCCATCAATTTCGTCATATTTTCCAATTCTGCTCACGTCATCACCATCCATTTCAAATTTTCAGTCTTTGTGGAAATAATTTTTTCGCCAGATGTTTCGTCGTCGTGGCAACAATTGCAGAAAAAGAGCGATATGTGCACTTTAACTAGCAAAATCTGCTATCGATGAACCCAGACATCTTTAATTAGATTCAATTCATTGAATCTTTCACAATTTCTAGAGCTTTCAAGTTCACCAATTTTTTTTTTACATCACCAATTTGGTAATGTTACTTTTGCAAATTCGAACTGTTCGCCAGTGAATATTTTTGTCGTTTCAGTTTCGAATAATTTTATTATTCGTTTTAGTTGAACAAAGTCTTTCAAGACTTTGTATATTTGATTTGATGCTTTCTACTTTTTAAATGCAACGTTTGGTTCGCCATGGTGAACGTCTTGATACTTCGCCACCTCAGTTCGCACTGAATTTACACTGTGATACGGCATGGTTTATATACCGTCAGAATTGCATCGAATTTCACAAATTTTGTTAATTTGAACGTTATATGACTCAAACGATGACGATCAACACTTATTATAAATATATTGTTATTGTTCAAAGAAGTATCACCATATGTGGAATTTCCGGCCGATTAAATGTTATCAATTTTCGTTTTTTATAAACAAGTTTTTGTATTTAACAAGTTATATGGCAATAAATGTCTATCCTCAATATCAATCTTCAAAGTCAATTTATAAGAGAAAAAAATCGTAGAAATTCTAATGAAATGGTTTTTTTTAGTAATTTCACAACCAAGAATAAAACGTAATTTCATTAAATAATTTAGCATTTATTTTTCTCATAGTGACAGAATGCGGATGAGTCAAACATCTGGAAATACTGAACAGCTGACGTATACACTGTTGATTTCGTTCGCCTGAATGTATTCGCGCAGTTTATTCTACTATTTTCAAATTCAAAACTGAACGAAGAAAAATCGTTATTTATTTACGGGTGTTTGTTTGTTATGGAAAAGTTTTTGGCGGTTGTTAAAGATTAATTAGGCAAATAAGTAAATAAGGCAGATAACTTTGAATTTTTCAGGTATTCAAAACAAGAAGAATTCTTTCGGCTTTTTAGTACTACTGTGAATTATAAATTTTCCATTAAAACCCCGAGAAATGGAATTTTCAAACAAAAAATCGGAATATGTTATGCTGACTTATAAGTAATTTCACATTTTGCAATTTTCGTGGAATTTTTTTTCCAGGAGAGTATTTGTTAAAGGCGTTCTTAATTGCCAGTTGTGAGTCTATTCTCGACAAGCCATGAACAAGAAAAAAATATGCATATTAATGAAGAAGACTCTGTGTTTGACCAGCGAAATAGAGCAAAAAAATTGAATTCGATTCGAACTTCACTAAGAATAGATGTGAAAGAAAAATCATGGACACAAAATGCTTACGACGAAGAAAAAGGAAATTAGTAGTCTAGAGCACATCTGAAGCGTACCAATTTCAAG